AAAAAAAACCAGAACTTCAAAGTTTTTTCCCGGGGGGGGGGGTTTCTCCCGAGCTTCAAAATTTCCAGAAATTTTACATCTCTAGTCGTAGTAGATAACTCACTGAAAATGTCGAGACAGTGTGCAACTGCAATAAAAAAGGCCAGTGCTACGTTGGGGATTATTAGGAAGGGAATTGAAAACAAGTCAGCCAGTATCATAATGCCTCTGTATAAATCAATGATGCTACCTCATTTGGAATACTGTGTACAGTTCTGGACACCACACCTCAAAAAGGATTATAGTATTGGGAAAAGTGCAGAAAAGGGCAACTAGAATGATAAAAGTGTTGGAACTAGAAATGTGAAGGCTCGGAAAAAAACCAGAAAAATTCGGAAAAACCCGGGTTTTTTCCGGAAGATTTTTTTGTTTTTTTCTGAAAAATTGGAAAAATTGAAAAAAGAAAAGAAAAAAAATGATTATGGAATGTTTTATTTTAACATGATGAATAAAATATTTTAAGACAAGGTGTTCAAATATTTTCCAAATCATTTCTAAAATATATATATATGGTATCAGATTGATCTAATTTCTGTGCACTGAGGACAAGCAAGTCCTAGGTTACAAACTGAACTCTCCAATGCAAGAACAAGATGCATTTCTTCCTTTAGGAGGTGCGATTGTCAGAAGAAAATAAAAAAGTTTCAGTTTTGTTTTTGCATGTGGGTGGGTATTCTGTTTGTAATAATTGTTTGGCTAGTTGTGATAATTTCATGCCAAATAAAAATGTCCATAGTCATATTTTATGTTCCTAAAGTAACAGAATGACTTTCAATCTAGAAAACACAAAAGAAATGCTAATGTAGCATTTTTTTCAATTTTTCTGAAAATTTCCGTTTTTTCCGGGGGGGGGGAAGGGGGAAAAACGGGTTTTTTTCCGAGCTTCAAAATTTCCGGAAATTTCTAGTTGGAACACTTTCCCTATGAAGAAAGATTAAAGTGCTTGAGCTCTTTAGCTTGGAGAAACGACGACTGAGGGGTGACATGATCAAGGTTTATAAGATTATGCATTGGATAGAGTAGGTTGAGAAAGAAAGAAGTACTTTTCTCCCTTTCTCACAAGACAAGAACTCGTGGGCACTCCATGAAATTGCTGAGCAGTCGGGTCAGAACAGATAAAAGGAAGTACTTCTTCACCCAAAGAGTGATTAACACATGGAATTCACTGCCACAGGAGGTGGTGGCGGCTACAAGCATGGACAGCTTCAAGAGGGACTTAGATAAACATATGGAGCAGAATTTCATCAGTGGCTATTAACCGCAAGATATAGATAGGAACTCAGGGGCAAGTGATGCTCTGTATTCTTGGTGCTTGGGGAGGGGGGGACAACAGTGGGAGAGCTTCTAGTGTCCTGGTCCCACTGCTGGACCTCCTGATGGCACCTGGTATTTTTGGCCACTGTGTGACAGAGTGTTGGACTGGATGGGCCACTGGCGTGATCCAACATTGGCTTCTCTTATATTCTTAAGGGGTTTATTCATGTCTCCAAGAAAATGATAAAATAAGATGGGATTATAAAAGCATATGAGGAACTGATTTGGGGCATTCTGTTGCATTAGAGAAGAGGGAAGGTGGCATTTTACATTGGCTTCTCTTATATTCTTAAGGGGTTTATTCATGTCTCCAAGAAAATGATAAAATAAGATGGGATTATAAAAGCATATGAGGAACTGATTTGGGGCATTCTGTTGCATTAGAGAAGAGGGAAGGTGGCATTTTACAACATTTTTGCTGAGAAGAGGCATGTGATCTCTGCAGACACACATTCACACATTCTGAGAACTGTAAAACCCAAGCATCTGTGATAATATCTTCCAGACAGAAAAACTGCCCAATAATCTTACAGAAACCTCTGAAAGAGCATGACATTGTGAATGGATTAATGGAATTCATTTACCCACAAGTGTAAACATTGCATGAATATACAGCCTCATGCTACATAATTAAAAACTAATCCCTATTTCATGATGAATAAACTTTGGACTATAATGTATCTTAAATAGAAAACTGTCTTTAGATAGATTTTTCCTCAAAAAGCATTTTGTTTTTAAAAATCCAGTTTAAATTAAAAAATCTGATTTCTTTTTTTTACTTTAAAAAATCATTGATTTTTATCCACCTTGCTTCTCGGAGAAATCAAGCATAGGGCCAGGAACATTCCTATCCTTTCACAGTATGGGCAAGATTGAATTGTTCGGGAAGGCATGGTTACATGTTTACTTGTGTTCGAGTTTTCAAGGGAAATGTTCACCTCCTCCCCTCCCAAGTCTCCCGTACGATCTACTCTTTTAATTTCATTCTTCTCTATTAGTATAATACAGTCATCTCCAACATGGTGCCTGTGGAACATGGCATCTGTTGAGGTGTTTCCTGGTGCCCACTTTCTTCTCCCCCAAAACAGGTCCCCCAAACCAAAGAGTCAGCCGTGGCTTTTCTCTTACACATGGGAGAGACAGGGCTTCAGAATCTTTTAAGAGGACATCTTAACCTCTGCAGGGAACATCCTTTTAGAAAGGGACATTTAACATGTGGACATTTAACTTGGAACCTCCCAACATGCTGGGATCTTGGGCATCAGCTGTGTCCCACAGAGGTGCCCACTGCCTGTTTTCAAACTCTGGAAGTGGGAACTCCTGGGGTACAACCCAACTGCATTGTGTTGTTCAGTGTATGTATTTTATCAGTCTCCACTGCAGCCTTTTTTTAAAGAGAGCTTTGTAACCCACCTGGAATCTCAAGCAGAAAGCCAGTTTTCTAAGGCAGGGGAGGTCAAGTCACACCTTAAAGGCCCTGCCTGCCGACTCCTCCTCTTTGTTGATGGGATTCAGAGAGGCACTAAAGTTTTGAAAGTTTGAGTCCAGCGGCACCTTTAAGACCAACAAAGTGTAATTCTAGTGCAGAAGTATGCATGCGCACCAAGGCTTATACCCGGGATAAAACTTTGTCTAAAAGGTGCCGTGGGACTCAGACGTTGCTCTGCTGCTTCCGACCAGCACGGCTTTTTTGTTATTGTTCAGTCGCACAGTCGAGTCCGACT